GTATCGAAATCAGCCGCTTCCGACACCCTTCAGGACTCGCCGGAATGCCGGCTTGGGGCTGAATGTAGGGGCCTTAATAATTAGAATAGGGTTTGGGGGTTCCTTATTATAACTATAGTATAATAGACCCTGAAACCCTATTGTAATTATTAAGGCCCTTTTTTTAGCCCTTAATTCCACAACATTCCGAAACTGACAACCCCGCCAGGCCTTCCCCAGACGGACAGCAAAGCCGGCGACGCAGAGAGTGTTGGGTTTAGGGTTTAGGGGTTTGGCGTTATGAATATTCTGACGACAGTTACCTGATTTCAAGCCCTGCTTACGAAGTCACATGATCCTTTGCATAAGGGTCTTGGGTTGAGGAGGGTGTAGGTCTTTGAGGTCAATCCTTCGAGTGTTGCGGGTGGGGTGCTTGGTTTCTGGCATTGCAGGCTTGAGCCCTAATTCAGTGTTTCGGCTGTACAGCTTCTCGAAGGTTTAGGACTTGCAAACCCTAAACCCTAAACCCTAAACCCTAAACCCTAAACCCTAAACCCTAAACCCTAAACCCTAAACCCTAAACCCTAAACCCTAAACCAGCCTGTCTTAACATGCCGTGGCTAAGAGGTTTAAGGTTTGGGGCTGAAAGGGCTTTGAGTGTCTGAGTCCGACGGTTCAGGGGTGTAACATATGGGGACTCAAGAACAACCTATACTATTTTGGGGGTTTAGGGTTTAGGGTTTAGGGTTTAGGGTTTAGGGTTTAGGGTTTAGGGTTTAGGGTTTAGGTTTATTTTGGGGGTTCCTTATTACAATTATAGTACAATGTACCCCCCAAAGCCCTATTCTAATTATTGAGGCCCCTACATTGGGGGTTTAAGGTTCGGGGGTCTCGACGGTTGAATCAGTTTCTGGGGTTTTCAGCTTTAAGCTGTGCCGGGGTCAAAGTTCAGGTTCCGGCCACGCAAGGTTAGAGGCAGCTCCCAGATAACCCAGAAGCACTCCACTACTCAATAAGGAACCCCAAAACACCATAACCCTAAACCCTAAACCCTGAATAAAATGGGCCTTTCTTGGGCTTCGATAATAGGGATTTTGTTGGGGCGGGGTTGAGGGGCTTACTGGATCCGAACAGTGAGAGACAGGAATGCTCCCTAAACCCCTAAACCCCGAAACCCCTAAACCCCTAAACCCCGAAACCGTGAAACCTAAACCCCTAAACCCCTAAAGCCTAAACCCCTAAACCCCAAACCCTAAACCCTTAACCCTTGTGGGATACTGGAGTCTCTGGATTAAATCTAAACCCTAAAAGCCAAAATCCTGAACCACCCCCCAAGCGAACCTGGACTCCCAACCCCTAAGCCACCAAAACCAAAGCATAAACCCGTCAACCGTACCCTGAACCCTAGACCCCAGACCCTAAACCCTAAATCCCTAAATCCCTAAATCCTTAAAAACTAAACCCTAAACCCTACAACCCTAAACCCTAAACCCTAAACCTTAAAACCGACGGTGTCATGATTCAGTGTATGCTCCAATAGGGGCGAGCCATGCTGAGTGAAAGGTGGGCTACTACACTTTAAAAAAAAACCTTAAAACCCCAAACCCCTAAACCGTTTTCGGGTCCCAGCTTAATCGTTGCTACAAGAGACCTAGGTCTCTCCTTTACAGAAATCGCTGGGGCGACACACGCGCAAGTTGGCAGTGTTGGGGCTCTGCTGGGAGCTCAGCTTTTCGGGTTTAGGGCTTTGGGTTTAGGGTTTAGGGTTTAGGGTTTAGGGTTTAGGGTTTAGGGTTTAGGGGAAGCAGCGTATTCACAATATAATCATCGTCGTCAGCATCATCATGGTCATAATCATCATCATCATCCTCGTCGTCGTCGTCGCCGCCATCACCATGAGAAGCGGCATCCAGCATCAACATGGTCGTGATTATCGCCATCGCGCTCAGCATCGGCAAGCATCTCTCTTTGTCCTGTTAACCGTCCGCTTCTTTTGGTACCAACTGTGGCAACTGTTCTATAGGAACCCGCCGCGTTCGCCGAATTCGTGATGATTTTCGGTAGCTTTGTGCTTTCGGCTGTTATTCTTGTGTACTTGTTCGTCAACTACGTCGTTTTGCGATGGTGGTCACCCCCGAACCCAAGATCCTCAATCCCAAGCCGCAAAATTTTAGGGTTTAGGGGTTTAG